GGAAGGGGGGGAGGAGGGTGAAGGGGAAAGAACCCAACTCACCAACACCCCTCCAAAATTCACTCCGCAAAGAATCGGGGGGAGGGGAGACAGCCAAGAGGATAAAGGTGGGAAAAGCTTTACAATTAAAAAAAAAAAAAAAAGTGGAAAAGTTAGTTTAATAGTAATAGTTCACATATTAAAGGAAGATATTTCTGTCCTTATATTCGCTAAATAGATGCTAATTTTGGTCAAGACCATTATAGGAAGCTGGAATCATTGTTTTCCCAAAGGCAGAGTAAGAGCTCACTTGGAACTATGTAACCAAACCCAGCGCTGGGGGATTGCCAGTTTGTCACCTTCCCAAAACTTTTAAAGTCCTAACTGTTTGTATTTCCCGAAAGAAAACAAACAAACAAACCAAACCAAACCAAAACCAAAACAACACCCTCCTCCAAAAAAAAGAAAAAAAAAAAAAAACCCAGAAAAAAAAAAAAAGGTCAAACAAACGACGGCCCCGCGTGCATTTGAAACAAACCGCGTGTTTTACACTTGAAAGCGGAGCTGGGGGTGCTGCTGCCGCCACTTCCCATTTCAAAGCGCAGCCGACAGCTCCCGCCGACGGGCGGGCGGGCAGGGGGACCAGGGACGGCGCCGGAGACACCCCCCCCCTTCCTCCCCGTCCCCCCCATCTCTCCACTTAGTGGGGTCGGTCCCTTCGCGCGGCCGCCCCACGCGCGACAGCGCCGTTCCCGCCGGTGTTTGACCCAATGAAACGCCCGTCGTGGTTTTTACGTGTTTTCAATAGAAAGCGACTCCTTACTAATCCGGGGAGGGGGGGGCTTTCCGGTCGCTTCCTCAGGGCAGAAACACACAAACACACACACACCCCCCGTGCCCGAACTCTTCCCGCCAAAACCCTCCTCACCTACAGTTTGGGCGCCAAAACCGCCTTCCCTTTCCGCCGCCGTGATGCGCCAGGGTCGAGGGCGGGGGTTGCCACCGGGGCCCCGGCGGCGGCCGGTTCGGTGTGGGGAAGGGGCGGGGGGGGGGGGGTAGGGGA